CTTATGACACTGTATCTTGAAATGCATTTACAGTGGCACTGTTTTCCACATTAACCCGAACCACTTTTGATGCTTTCTACTTGTGGGCAGCTGCTACCTGATTGACCCCTTGGGTAGCCATGCACCTGTGGTGCCTTTGTCCTCAAATGTCTGCACTGAAATTATTAATCATCTACATTATACTTTTGGGATGTTAATTGCATGACAGATGCAGATGAGCCTAGATCGCAAAAGGTGGTTCAGGGAAGATGTATGTGCAGAATAGAGCAGAATGAATACATTTAATATACATTTTCATTTAGGGGTTGTGGTCACCATCTAACTGTATGTTGTCAACAATTCCAGATGATGTCTGCAGTTAAGGAAAAAGAACAGTTTCTGTTAAAATGGTGCTACACTTGGATAGGGATTTCAATAAGACACTGAAAAATTATTTGAAAACTGCCTTGATAGTCTCTTCTCTTTCCCACTCCTGGAAATGCAAATTGAGTTTCCAGTGGTGGTGCTGGTAGTTGTTAGTAAATATTTTTCATTTACATAATACCTCATTTTAAGGATGTCAAGGAGCTATACTGAAGTGATTAAAGGGAAATTACTTATGTTGTAATTCTGCTTCTTTGAAAATATATTTTTTCATAATCTCACTCCTTGGTCCCAACTTCTTGATTGAATTTTCTAAGCTCTAAACGGTTGTTTTTAGTTAGTGGTGTGAGGTAAAACTTGAGCATAAATTCTGGTAGTTATGCTGTACCCCAATGCTCATTCACACTTGTAACCTTCCAGTAGATCCTGAAGTGGCAGAAAGAGAACCATTCTGTTTTCCTGGGCGAGTTTTGGCAAAAAATACTTCAACAAAGCACAACAATAACCATCAAGATGTAAGATTTCAACGTTAAATATCTAGCCATAAAGGACATCCCCAAAAATCTCAGGAGGCCAATAATGCAACCGAAGACCAGTGTAGCCCATCTCTAGTCCACCAGAAGTGATGAAGTTATCTGGTTTTGGAGCTTTTATGTTGGTTCTCTGCCACCATGCCTTTGCCCTCTCTTTCCTGGGCCAATGAAACTGGCTTTATTAACAGACTGCTGTTTTCTGTATGCAGTGTTGTTGTCTACATGTTAGTCCCAAGATACTAGAGGGACAGTGTGGGTTAGATAATATTTTTTATTGGGCCAACTTTTGTTGGAGAGAGAAAAGCTTTCAGTCTTGTACAGCTTTTCTTCAATCTATGAAATATACTCTTTACAGGATTGGTTACGAGTGTTGTCTTTGGTGAAAGATCTAAGATACAAATTGACCTCAGGTAAGTTACTGATCTTTTGAGACAGGAAGCAATCTCAGTTTTACATGATCTTTGGTGAATAGCAACAAGCTATCACTTAAGTCCAGCTTTCCTCGGTGGCAAGATAGACTGGAATGTCCAAGGGAATTTTCTGTGACTCTGTGGTAAGACTGTTACAGTGCTTTAGGAGTTCAACTTATAAGTGGATTGGTGAAATCTAATTCTAGAACACATACCTGTTTCAGGTATTCTGCACTGCTTCCTGACAGTCATGAACCACTACAGTTATTATGACAATTGAACACCATAGAAATAGGCAAGACATTTTTTATTCAATTGTTTGATATTACTTTTTTTAAAAGTGCATTGACACTGCTTCTTTCATAAATAAAAAAAATTAAAACAATAATAAAAGTAAATCTGGATTGGGAAGCTTCAGTTCTTTGAAATGATGGATCCATGCATTTACCCTTTTATTCTGCTAAATTGGTTTAAATTGTGAAAAATCTCAGTTTATAACAAAATGTCAGCAAATTGAACTTTAATATGAATGGATTTGGATAATATCAGATGTTGAATGTCACTTAACTTAGTAGGATTGCAGATTTCAGTGGTGCCCAAGTAGAAGAACTGGAATGTCAGCATGATGGTCGCCTAGAAACAGTTTTAATAGGAAAACATTTTGGGGGAAGGGGAGGTAGATGGAGATAGCTTCACATGTGGCAGAAATTCCACTGTCTTTGATGGGTCACTATGAACTTATATCAGTATAATTACATTGCTCAAAGGTGTAAAAATCCCCACCCCTGAGCAAAACAGTTATACCAACCTATACCCTGTCCTCCTTCCTTCCTTTCTCCCCTCCCCCTGTAGATAATGTTATGTAGATGGAAGGGCTTAGATATTTCAAGAGAGTTAAAATTCTCTCCTTTGTGTAATTTACTAGAACAGACTCTCAGTAGTTTCTGTGGACCAATTCTTCCTTTTTCCTCCATATTTTTTGTCTGTCTTTCTCCTGGCCTGCTCTGTAAATGTCTTGTGATGGTTTCAAGCACCCATTATGATAATTTTAATGCAAGAGAAAGATTGCACTGCAGTTAGCTTGCTATTTTTATTACAACAACTGTAACATTTCTGAAACTACTTGCTCAGGCTGTAGCATGTACTGCCAGAACTATTTGTAAGGTGTCCTATCTGCAAATAACAATTATGCTTGGATGATTTTTTTTATTATTTATTAAAGAATATTCAGATACACTAACCTCTGAGTATAAGAATACAGATTAATTTGTACTGTGTTATACTGGTTGGACTGAGAATCAATGCAATTGTGATAATTAATAATGGTTCTTTAACTCACTATGAGCCAAACAAAAGGATTTCCTTGGAGCAGTTATTCTCAAGGAAAAACAGGTGTGTACAGGAGAGGGTTTATGTTAATGTGTATGAATATCCTTCTTTCTTGCTACATACACAATGTGTGTTGCTATAATTTAAGAGGACTCTGTTGTTCAGAGATCTGCAGTAGTACCACACCCATAGTATTACTAATGGATTTTTGTATGAGCATTGTTAAGACCTAGGAGCTTGAGAAAAGGATAAACATTCAGAACTGAGGCTGTACAAAACAATCAGTTTTTATCTCTGCTAGAAGATCTTACATTGAGAAGATCTAAAATATATATTAATTTATACTTCCCAAAAAGGAAGAAAGGGTGTGGTTATGGTTAACATACAGAGTTAGATGTTAGAGGCACAGGTTCTGTACTTTGCCACAGACTTGATATGGGACTTCAGGCAAGACACTTGAACACTGTTTCTGTTTCATCAGTATCTTAGGGTATGTCTACAAAGCAGCGTGTCTACACAGCAAGCCATTACTTCAAAATAATGGTGAGCTGCAGGACTTCTTACTCCATCTCCTGTAACCCTCATTTCTCAAGGAGTAAAGGAAGTCGAAGGAAGAGTGTCCTTCCTTCACTTCCTGCAGTGTATATCGTCCCAAAAGACAAATTAAGGTATTTTGACTTCAGCTATGCAATAAACATAGCTGAAGTTGCGTATCTTAACTCAACTTTGTCCTGTAGTGTAGACATACCCTTACAGAAGTATTGTTACACTAACTTTAATTTTTGTAAAGTGCAGTGAGATACATCACTTTCCATCCAAAGATGTATTAGTAAATTGCAACAAAATGTCTTCCCACTACAGATATTTACATGCTTAAGTTTGGCCCCAATTTTGCAGAAGTTTAAGTACATGTTTAATTTTAAAAATGAGAATCATCCAGTTAATTAATTGGAACTACTCAAGTGCTTACAATTAAGAATGTCCATAAGTCTTTGCAGGACTGGAATATAAAATGGCAGCTAACAGATTTACAGGCTTTTAGAACTTAGAAAAGAAAAAGATTACACTGGGCAATCCTTTAGTTGAGTCTACTAGCCATACATGTTTCTTTCTTGCCATACATAGTGTTCAGAAAGTAAGTGTGAACTTTTGTGCCAGTTCTTAAATACATCAGTGTTCTTTCTAAACAATTGTGTTTGGTATATTAAGTGAAAAACTAGAAGATGGATAATGACGCTGTTGTACATATAAAAGAGCAAAAGCAATCTGTGGCCAAACTGACAAATAGGCATGTGATTAATTGCATTAAAATCAATGGGAATCCTCACCTTGGTAGAGTTACTCATATGTTTTGAAAATAAAGCTGGATAACAAACACCAGGTTTTTTTTTAAAAGGCACATAACGTGTTTGTTAGCCATTTGCAGCAAATCTTTTGAATATATATATTTTTTCCTTTTGGGAAAGAATATATTTAAAGCACACCCTGGATGTAGAGCATTTTTCTTATCCAGTCATTCATTATCAAGCAACAAAATTAAAGTAAATTTCAACATTTTTGATTGTCTGCCCTAGAATAACTAATCAGCTTCCCCTCAAAATCTTTTAGGCCACCAGCTGCAAATAAGAATGAGCTTCCATATTTAATAAATTCTATTAACTATACACACAGCCATGTCACATTATAGGTGACCAGGCTCTAATTAAAAGCATACACCATCTGCTGGTTTGTGGCAGCAGGGTAGCACTCCATAACCACCTTAGTTCCTGAGATTGAAATGTATTATTTATGAGCTCTTACTTACCTCATGGAAGCTGAATTAGGAACTGGATGGCCCCATCTAATGGTATGGTTGTGAAGCTGATTGTTAACCTTTTTTTCCTTAAGAATATTCTCTTGCTGTATTATTGAGTGTGGAGAGATGGTTCATGATCAGATTTTATTTTGGACCTGAAACTTGCATTTCACTTTCATAGGAGATTGAAAAGTAATCCCTGAAAACAAACTATTGGAGTGGTTTTCACTGGCTTTTTCTTCCAAGGCAAAATATTTAAGTTTGAAATAAATACATATATTGGTGTGAGATATTTTAAATGGTGACAATAATCATGCGAATTACAAATACAACTGAAAAAGGATCCTGCATGATATGCTTATAAGAAGCACATGGAATCTCTTTAGGGGAAAAGGCAAGATGCCACATTTATTAAGAATACAGTATCAAAGCAATTAGCATATGCTTCACAAAGACAGCCCCCCCCCCACACACACACACACAATGGTGCATAGTTACCAGTCTAGCCATAGTAACTGGACAGGTAAAACTGACTGAATGAGGAGTCAGGGTCTTTTAATCATGATTTGAGGCTCCTCTAAGGCTTAGCTTGCGGGATGGAACCCAGAATCCCATGGCAAGAGCTTCCCTTCTTATATATGTAATTTCCCATTTGAGTCTATGGGTATTGCAGTGTCATGCTGCAATCATTCATCCTTAAATAGTTTTAATCTCAGGATTTTCCACATTATTCTTCGATGGTTATTGTCATGTTTCTCATCGTTGTCTCTTGTTTGTCTAAAAGCTTCAGGGAGTAGCCAAGTTAGTCTGTAACAGGAAAAACTTGAAAAACAATAAATTTTTAAGCCTAGTAGCAACTTAAAGACTAACAAAACATGTAGATGGTATCATGAGCTTTCGTGGGCAAAACCCACTTCTTCAGATGATAGGAGTATACTAAGTCCAGATCCAAGAATAAGTAAGGGAAGGAGGGGAGTAGAAAAAAGGGGAGGGGAAGAAGAAAAGAGAGTGCAAATAGTTACAAGAGGCTGTTAAGAATCATTAACAGCTTGGTTGGTTGGTTGTCATTAAAAGGTGGGAGATAGTGTGTGTCCTATATCACAGTTCAGACCATTAGCATAAGAATTAAACTTGTGAATGAAGTTAAGTTCCAATCCTTCTCTGTGTATTTGGTTTGTGGAATTGGTCTGAAACAAACCAGCCACTTGGAGATCCATTAATGAGTGTCCAGGAAGATTAAAGTGTTCTCCAACAGGTTTTTGTGTGTTGCCTTTTTGGATATCTGACTTATGTCCGTTAATTCTTCCCGTAGATATTGTCCAGTTTGGCCAATATACATTGCATTGGGGCATTGCTGGCATATATCACATTAGTGGATGTGCAGTTAAATGAGCCTTTGATTTGATGGTTGATGTCATTGGGTCCAGTGATGAAATCGCTGGTATAGATGTGTGTGCTGATTTGGCACCAGTGCTGATTTCAGGGGTGGGTTCCTGGATGATTATGATGGAGATGTATTGCATGGTAACTGGAAAGAATTTGTTTGAGGTTAGGGGGTTGTATGTAGGTGAGGATTGGCCTTTCCCCCAAGGCCTGTGAGAGTGAGCGATCGTTTTCCAGGATAGGTTGTAGATTGTTGATAATGCGTTGGAGGGGTTTAAGCTGTGGACTGTTGGTCATAACAAATGGAATTCTGTTGTTTTCTCTTCTGGGCCTGTCTTGAAGTAGTTCATGTCTGGGTACTTTTTTGGCTCTGTCAATCTGTTTTGTTTTTTTGGGTGGGTATTTCAGTTTTAAGAATGCTATATATAGATCCTGTAGATGTTTGTCTCTGTCTGTGGGATTGGAGCAAGTATGGTTGTACCTTAGGGCTTGGCTGTATACAATAGATTGCGAAATGTGTCTGGGATGGAAGCTAGAGGTATGAAGGTAAGTGTAGTGGTCAGTAGGTTTCTGGTATAGGGTGGTGGAAATTTGTCCATCATTTAATAGTACTGTAGTGTCAAGGAAGTGGATTTCTCATGTGGAGTTACTACTCTTGTGTCTCACTCTTGGGGGATGTTTGCCTGTCTCCAGAGTTCATCATTTCTGCTAATTTAATTCAGCCTCAGACAGAATGGATGTTTCCTGGTTATCTACAAGGTTCCCACTTCTTCTTGACCATCTGGGCATCTGTGATGGTTTTTCACACTTACACATATCCTCCACTCACACCAAAGATCTACAGAGCATTCCAGATAAGGATCACAGAGTTACTAGAAGACACAACTTAGTTTACAATACAGACATTTTCTAATCATGACACACAAGGAGAAGTAGAAGCGTAGAGATCTCATAAGCATATCATTACACATCAAACGTATAGTTGTATACTGACACTAAAATACTAAATTTTTGCTAGAAGCATGTACCAAATATCTTTATAAACTGACCTCCAGTAAAAATATCTACTGGTCAATTGGGAGTATCTTTTAATAAAAGTGAAATCCATCCAGTGTTTGTAAAGGGCTTTATTGAAGACTGAACAAAGATTATTTATGGGCTTTTAAATAAGGAGAGAGACTTATAGTCTGTGTTTCTAATGGCCCTTGTGGCCTAAAGTTTTGGACACTTTTTTCTGTATTGCTTTGTGAGGGTGGAGGCCATGTCTTTCTTCCCGCCTGTTAGTGGGAATAAGGGCATTGTTCCTTGATTGGAAAGCACCATGCACATTGAGAAAAAACACCTTTTTGAATGGCTGAATCAGCAGCCCTCCTTTGGTGATTTTCAGGCTACAGATTGATGTATGCAATGGTGAGCATTGTGCCTGATGACCCTTGGAATGCCAGGAACAAGAATCAGTGCACTGATTCAAATCACTGTTGAGCTTGATGTGACAAGAAAATGAATGATTGAAATCTCCTTGTACTCTATAGCACTTGTAACTAGCATTCAGCAGAAGTTGTGTTTTTGTGCTACTTCATGCCTGTTCTTTGCAGTGCCAAGCAGTAGTGCAATTTACTAGCAGGCAGAGCAATAGCGATTGAACTTCTCTTGTGGGTACTCATATTGTTACAAGGAGACCTTTGGTATTAAAAACAAATAACCAGAGAGCATGTAATAAAACGTTGCAGGTAGTTGTACTTAATGTAGACCAAAAAAAAGCCCTGTTTGGTGAAGAAAATTTAGACAACATGGGGACTTTCTATGTTTCTTTTGATATTGTTAACGATTCTGTTTCCATTAATGAAACCACCATTAGTATGGGTTGAGGAGTAATTCTGCAGTTTATCTGTGATTCCAGTATATCAGTGGTTCCCAACCTTTTTTATGCCAGGGACCAGCAAACCCATTCACAAACTTTTAGCAGACCAGTAACATTTTATTTGCATATTCATTAGGCAGATAATAAGTATGCAGATATGCAAAAACAATGTTACCTGACCGCCTCGTCCCAACTCAGCCCCTTAGTCCCCAGTGCCTAACACCCTTTGACCCCCATACCTACACCCTATGCCCTTTGACCCTTTAACCTCTGCCCCCATAGCTCATTCCAGCACCCTCTTGCCCTATGACCTCCACCATTCCTCACCCAGCATCCCTTTGCCCCCCACATGGACAGGGGGAGCAACCACTGTCAGCACACACTTCTTCCTCCTTCGTGCCCCCTGCCTCCCCAAGCATGTCTTATGCCCCCATGGGTACAGAGGGGAGCATGGAGCCCTTGCTGGGCCACCATTACCGAGGGAGGTGGGAGGAAGGGAGGCACCTTCTCCTGGTGCTGACTCAGCCCTTGTGTGACCTCCAGCAAAAATGGCCATGCTGGCAGGGGGAGCGGCCGTTCGTGGCGCACGTGCCTCCTGCTCCGCCTCCTCCTGCCATGTCTCAGCCACTGTGGCTGCTGGAGCTGAGCCATCATGAACAGCTGGTTTGAGCTCTGGCAACCAGCGAGTCGTGTACTGGCAGCGGTCCACAGACCGGCAGTTGGGAACTGCTACACTATGGTTACGTCTAAACTGGCATGATTTTCCTCAAATGCTTTTAACGGAAAAGTTTTCCATTAAAAGCATTTGCTGAAAAGAGCTTCTAGATTGGCACGGACGCTTTTCCGCAAAAGTACTTTTTGTGGAAAAGTGTCCGTGTCAATCTAGACGCGGTTTTGCTCAAGAAAGCCTCGATAGCCATTTTCGCAATCGGGGCTTTTTTGTGCAAAACAAATCTGAGCTGTCCACACTGGCCCTTTTGCGCAAAAGCTTTTGCGCAAAAGGACTTTTGCCCGAATGGGAGCAGCATAGTATTTCCGCAAGAAGCACTGATTTCTTACATGAGATCGTCAGTGTTCTTGCGGAAATTCAAGCTGTCAGTGTAGATAGCTGGCAAGTTTTTCTGCAAAAGCAGCTGCTTTTGCGGAAAAACTTGCCAGTCTAGACACAGCCTATATGTTTATAATCTATAATAACGTTTCCAGACTGGTGGGATAGAGAAGTGCTTATACATCTCAGAGAAAATTGAAGTATATGAAGCACAAAGTTCTTCTACATTAAGTTCTAGTAAAGCTAGTGCTAGATATCAAGGTCCTGACCACAACCTTGTGGCTACTGGGGCATAATAAGATTTAACCTGAACAGTGAAGAGAACTTTTGAAGCAGATAAATAGATGATTAGCATATACAACTCTTTGTAAATATCCTCAACAGCACTTTACTACATTAGCCAAATGCTTTAAAAATGGCTTAGATGTCAAAACTCATATACTTACTAATGCTTTTTCTAAAACAATCTTTAGAACATATGCCATCAGAAGAATAAGAGATGCCTTCAGGGAAAACAAACATATAAAGGATTCAGAAGAAATAGAAAGACTAATAAATAAAGCAAGAACGAACCTAGAGATTATTCATCGGCAGGTAAGCATACTTTGGCTTATCTCTTTTTTACTTAAGGATTGTAAAATGCTGAATTATATGTTCTCCTCTAAGGGTGCAAGTACCATACCATTTACAGAAGGGAGAGAGGTATATCCTTTACAGTATTACTGTTTACAAATGGTGGGGAAGAAGAGTTAGGGAGTAAACGTCTGGCATAGTATTCCATTCTTCTTGATTAGAAGGATTTAAACATGAGTCCCGTATGTACAAATGGTATCAACATCCTGTTCTCTAAACTTCCTTGCTTGTCCCTCTTCTTTCTGCTATTCAGTCCTCTGCTGCAAGGTGTTTGTTTTCCATTTGCTTTACTTTTCTCTGTTGTGTTTTCTCTTCCTGTCTTATGTCTATCCTCTCATCCTTTCTTTTCCTCCTTCCCACTCACTGTTGTTATGTTCAGGGGAGTGCCAGTAGCTTAAGTCTCCTCTACTCTCTTTTTGTCCCTATTGGAGGCACAGTCCAGTAGGGCATAGAAGCAGAAGCATAGCCAGTCAACATTTTTGAATACATTTGTGAAAATATTTTCTGGGATCAGATATCATTTATTCTTGTCCACTGTGTTCACAACATAGTGCACAGAGCTAGGAATGCTAGCAAGATGATTCTTTGGAACATACCAAATTTAACTGAGTAATATTATGCATAAAGTATATAAAGTTATATTTTTAAGTTGCCCATAGCCTCTTGCTTCAGAAATAGAGCCTAGCTTTCCAGTTCCATCTTCATGATTGTTTTACATTTGTTTACATTCTGAAGTCTTTCTCTGGGAATAATTATTTCGAAATAGTGGCACTAGAGCATCCACACTACTGCTATTTCGAAATAATGATTTTGTTACTCCTGATGAAAAGCAGGAGTACAGATTTTTAATTCCGTGGCCCATTATGTGTGGATACTCCACTTATAAATTCGACCTTGGGGGGGTTATTTTGAAATAAAGTCCTAGTGTAGACCAGAGCTACACAAAAAAGCTGGAAGACGGCTTGCTATGTCAAGTCAATCATTTACTATTTAGTAACTGCAGAAGAATACCTCCAAGGTTATTTGTTGAAAGAAGGTCTTAAAAGCATGTAAGGAGTGAGGTGCCAACAAGACATAACTATTTCAAAAAGTGTCTTCTAATTTTGGATACTGTAACACTTAGGTCACTGATCCCATTAACCTAAATGGAGTAGCAGGGCTCAGGTCCTGCATGCATGAAGTTCAGTATCCTCAAATTGAGCCAATCTTAGAGGAAAATTTGGTCCTAAATCAGGGGTGGGCAATAATTTTTGATGGGAGGCACACCAAGAATTTGGTAAGTGGTCAAGGGCTGCACTCTTCCACAATATTAATGGAGAAGATGTGGGATCTGAGATGGAGATTGGGTGTAGAAGGGTGCTCGGGGTAGGAGGTTGTGAATTCTGAGAGGGAATTTGGGTGAAGGAAAAGATTGTGACTTGAGGAAGGGGATCAGGGTGCCAGGTTCAGGAGGGGGGTATGGGTGCAGGAGAGGAGTCCAGGGTCTGGGAGGGGACTGTGACCTGGGGCAAGGATGGAGGTGGGTGGTGCAGGGGTTTGGGTTGTGACCTAGTACAGGAGGGGGTTGTGACCTGGGGCAGGAGATTGGAGTGCAGGGTCTGGAAGGGGGTGCAGGAGAAGATTTTGACTTGGAGGAGGGATGCAGGAGGGAATGCAGAGTCTGGAACAGGGTTTTGACCTGGGGCATGGGGAGCAGTAGGAGTTGCAGGGATTTGGATTGTAACCTGGGGCAGAGGATTGGGGTGCAAGGTCTGGGAGTGGATATAGGTGCAGAAGTGGGGGCAGAGGTTTCGGGGAGGAGATGCTAGAGTGCCAGATGCAGGCTCTGGATAGGGGGCAGTTACCTAGGAGCTCCTGGTCAGCAGCCCAGCTGGTCCCTCAAGCAGGCCCTGTCTTCCATGCCTCCACGCGCCACTCAAAGTGTCTGGCAGTGGGCCCCATGTGCTGCTCTGAGTGCCGTGAGCCCTGGGGGTGGGTACTTTGTTACTGTCTGTCCTGTAAACAGGCAGCTCTCATTGGTTGGTTGCTGTGAGTGGCATGTGAGGGAGGGGCAGGCAGGGAGCCTGCCTGAGGCTCCCACTGGGCCATGGGCTGGATCTGGCCTATGGGATGTATTTTGCCCGTCCCATGGGATGTATTATGCCCATTCTTATCCTAAATGATTTGTTTGAAGGTACCACAGTGTGTCTGTCACAAACTTTGGAATAAAACTGATTCGAAGCCCTATGCTTCTAAGCCCTATGTTGTCTTCCATTTTGTGTTGCACTTAACAATCATATGCTCCATGGAAAAACACATTTTTTCTGCATGATGTCATATTTCTTTTAACATCTTGAGTGTTTATTTTCAATCTTATTTTAATTGAACAATTTAATTAATGGAGTAAATGGGCATAAAATAATGGGTTTATATTTAAAATCAACCTCAAAACATACATTATATATTTTTTATTTTTAAACATAAATGCAATGAAGCAAATATTAGGTGTAGTGTACATTTTTTTTGTAAGTTTGGGGGTTTATTATGATGTAGCACATCTGGTATTGCTGACTTTTTCATTGCATGTCGATAGAAATTAAATAATACCCCAGCTTGCTGACAATTTGTTGTTACTGTGAAATCAAATTTACATGCTAATTTATGGTTTAGTCATCAAAATGACCATTGAAGTATAAGGTTCATAAATAACAATTTGAATCAGTCTAGTGGGAAATGTGAAATAGTGACAGATTATTATCATTTCATGTCAGTTAACACTGGATTTTCCTGATTTTTTAAAAGACGCCTTATAAAGCTAAAAAGCATGGAGGAACATTAATTTCAACCTCTGTCTTCCCACACTTTCCTAGTTATTGGTTTGATTTGAAAATAGGATAGGTAATAGAGGGAGGCAATCCACAGATTCTTTTCCGCCCATAGTACATGGTATGGAGCTGTTTCTTGTATCTGTTGTCTGACATAAGAGAAGTACATTCTGACCAGTATATTATTATTTTCAAGAGTGGAAAAGTTGCAGCTGTTAATGTCAGCAAAATCCTTTGTGTGTTGTTATTGAGAGAGAATGAGTTCTACTATCACCAGTAGTGAGATATGTGTCTACTGCATAATTATCAAACTATTTCTTTTTATGCTCCCATGACTTCTCTAAAGGATTAATGCTACTGTTTGAGCAAGAGGTGTATTAGAGATATTTTCCTGAAAAAAATATTGCTTTTGTTTAGATTCTGGATTTATATAAGCCACTTTGAAGATTCATTTGTATTGTGTAATTTTAATGCCCTAGCAAGTTCTCTTCATGACATCACAACAGCTTTTGTTTTTTCACTGTACCAAAATAAACATTTATATCAACCAGTGCATTTTGTTAAAATGCCTATTTTAATCCACAAGATCATTTATTATTATTTGTTTCATCCTGTAAAGCACTTATTTTTAACCTTAGATTGAAACTGAAAGGCATTGGTCTGTTGGTTGCCCATTTAAGAAGAAATTACTCTGGATTTCCCAACAGATATGATTTCTACAGAACCAATTATTCTTCTTTTGGCATCATATCACTGAAGTACCCTTCAGTAAAAAGGTTTTGATGCCTCATTGCTTTTGCTTGTTATTTCAAGTAGTCCAAATTGATGAGAACTATGCTTTATGCAGAAGATTCTCTTGCCAGGTAACCAACGATATATCAAAAACTTCTGGAGGAGCAATATGAAAGGGTTTCCCTAGTAAGTGTGAATTTGTCTTTCAGGTATAACCATGCTCTGAGTGAAGAGGTAGACAATGATCACTCCTCTTTTTAATATAGCTTGAATTATCTTGCTTTCCTTTCTTATGCACATGAATGAGACTGTAGGAAGAGGGTTTGTGAGCTCTATTTAGTGGGCTGTGCTTATAATATTGGGTAATAAGCACTTAAAATGTTTTTAATATCCACAACCTATTATAAATATCTTCTAATTCTTGCAGTATTCTTTGGTGTTGGTAAGCATCATCTCCATTTTATTGAGATGAAAACTGAAGCAATGTTGAGTGATGGCCAAAGTGACTTTCAGACCAACTATCAGAACTTAGGAATTCCCATCTCCCATTTATGTGGTTATGCCACACCTGTCATAATCTTATAACAGTCTTGGGTTTTTTTTCCATTGCAACCTACTTTAATTAGATGACAAGGATATTTCATGTTAGAACCTCTATTTGTGTATACCATTAGAAGAATTCTCCCAGACTAATAGTTTGCTTTTGGAGTTATGTTATATCCATTTCAGTAGAGCATATCCAGAGTATTCAACCTTCATGATAGTCAGTATCAATATGTGCCCGTTAGCGATGCAAGCAACAAGTTGGTGAATTTAGAGATTATCTGATAAATATACTAGAACATCACTACTATTATTATGAATCTGTAATAATATATCTGCAGCATAAATTATTTGACTCTTTTCCTACTGTCAGCACTTCCTAAATGATTTAGCTATATGGCAGATTTTTAGTACTATGTGTGGTATTGTATTCAACATTTCATTTTTAACATTTGAGGATTTTTAGAAAGCATTGGAGTGGCATAGACACTTTGAAATGTATTGTGTTTGAAGAGCGAAATTGGCTTGGGCTCTGCACTTGCTTTTGGATCCCACTGCCAATTTTTTGTAGCTTTACCACCAAATTTTCCTGTTTTTACACACCAGGGGCTGCTTGACTATAGGGACGACAGTGGAACCGATTCATATAGAAAATTTTTTTTACAGCGAAAAAATAATATTGTTTTTCCTCTGATCTTTTCATTTTTAGTAATCTTAGATTTTACTTGCAACTGTGGAAGGTAAACATCATCCCTACCTGGGTCCAGTCACCAAAGTCTTTAATAGATTGGGAGTTGACCATCACATATTCCTTGTCATCCTCCAAGAGAACTACTTACACTAGTGGGAAGAGTGCACAGGGCTCCACACACTGCCCTTGTC